ACACACACACACACACACCGACACACAATCACTCGTTCTTTGCATGATAAACATATTTTACTCTTATTTTTACTTACATTTTTTCTCACTCACTTTATATTTACTTCATTATTTTCCTGACTCTATAAATCATTTCTGATCACGCAGGGATCAAACAAACATGTCCTTCACACATGCAGGAAGTAATTTACATCTGTTTAACATATGTTAATGAAGGCGTGTCAGGGGAGGAGTCTTATCTGCGCTCAGTTCCACATTAATTGTGATGTACAAAAGAAAGTGTGTGGATTCAGGCGTACACACAGTTTGATACATCTGGATGTTTTTGTACGTACGCCGTTTTCTGGATTTGACCGTACGTCAGGTTTCAGTAATAAATCCACGCAAGTCTTTGTACATGAGGCCCCAGGTCTGGAGGTTTTAGAGGACCTCCAGACCTGGTTGTACTTGTTCTTGCACTAATGGAGCTGCCTGTGCCATTGGCACTAATGCACCCCCATACCATCAGAGTAGGGCTGAAACGATTCCTCGAATAATTCGAGGAACTCGATTACAAAAAATCCTCGAGGCAAATTTATCTGCCTCGAGGCTTCGTAAAAAATGTGTTACATACTGTTATAATCAGAGCACTTTTGTCCGCCCGGAATGTTATTTGTGTTACATCCAGTGCTACGATGAAGCGCTAACATTTACACTGTCGACGCGTCAAGCGTGTATGCTTGCTAAGCGCTATATTTAGCTAAACAAAGAGCGCCGAAATGAAGCGCCCAAAAGACGACGAATTAAAAAAAGCATGGGAACATTTAAAACTAAACAGAAAAGATGAACCCGTACAGTTCACTTCACATCTGCGATGTTTGTGCTCCGGAACAAACACACTGCTGCGTGTACCGAACACGTCTGGAGGTAACAACAGGTATCGTTCACGTTACCTTTGCAAAATACAGTTACCTAAACCTGTGATAATCTGTCAGGTTACAGATGTAAAAGGAGGAGGTATATTTAAGTTAACATTAATTGTGCAGACTGATCATGGTGACCTGGCAGGGTTTTATTAAACAGTGTGTAAGTTGTGTGATTAAAAACAAGACTTACTGTAAGTTTGTCAGAAAAAAATAAAAACACAACAACAGATGACAGCTTGAGCTGAAACACGTTTATTTGTTGATATGCTTTTATCTTAATTTAAATGATACTTGGAGTAAATGTTTCAAGTTTAAAAGTATTTATAGAAGATAATTGAATTTCTTTAATTATTTGCTGCTGCTTTTTATGATTTTAGCCTTCATTATTACTGTTATATTTGTTTGTAGCTAAGCAGTCAAAACTAAATATTTTATTGCCTAAAAGGGAGCCCTGCATCAACCTAATAACAGTCTTAAAACAATTTGATTTTTTTGTCACAATTAACAAGTGAACTCTACAAAACTTAATTGCAACACCCAAATGTTTATATTACACATTGTACTTATTAAATTTCTACCCCCC